AGGAGTAAACCTCTAGCTCTTAATTTGGCTCATATCCAGGGTAAAACTAGGCTTTCAAGAGTAGTGAACTGGACAGAAAACCTTGCTCATCCCCTGAGCAGAGAGCACCCAAACACTCGCTGTTCTGCAGTGCTTGTGTCCAGCCGCGGAGCTGGCTGCAGAGGAAAGGCTGAGTCATTTTCCATGGGATGTTTCACGGAGGAGCTAAGTGATGCGGGGCTTGGGTCTGAACAGCTCTGTTTCCTGGTGAATAGTAATTCTGTTTACTTAGAAGAGGGAAAAATCACTGGGGGCCTCAGTGCTGCTGTGTCATACCCGACTGGATGAAGTCTTGTTTATCTCAGGCTGAAAAGAGAGAAGCAATTCTGGTGGCACTTTTCAGAAAATAATTCTCTACTTTGGGGGAGTGTAGGCTGTGGAAATAGTTCATAAAGTCCTGAAGCTTTTTTTTTTTCCCCTGCTTGTTCTGTAACAGCAGTAGCATGTTACTGCAGCAAGAACGAAAGACCCTTGTGAGGGACTCCTGACATCCCATGCCAGGCTGAAATTTTTTTGTCCCACCAAAGCAGCTTCAGGCTTGTAAACACAGAGGGGTGGTTTGGGGTTTGTGCTGGGCTGAGTGATATCTGGAGCTGGCTTTCAATTTTCCTTCTGGTCTTGATTTTCATGCAGCATTTGTTTTGCCCAGCATCTACCTGTTTGGTTAGGACCTACTATAAATCTTTTGGTACTCACTTATAGGGGAAGAAGAAATAACTGAACAAGCTGTTTAGTCTGAGGATGGGATATTTTGACCCAAGGTGCTGGCAGTAAGTTGCCGCTTTATGGCAACATGTCATGAGAATCGTTAATGCTTCTACAGGGCACAGAGGAGCTTGGTTCCCTCGGCAAGTCACACATTGGGCTCGTGTGCCAATCACCAGTGCACCTGAACAGGCAGCCGGAAAGTGCCGTCTCTCATCTACCCGTTCCCTTCTCTGTCAGCAGTGCTGCACTGATGCACCGCTCTGTGCTAGATCACATCTGTTGACATTCATGTGCTGAAATAGCACAGTGTGATCAGCAGTGGGGGAAAGGAGTTCCTCTGCTCGCAGGCCGCAGCTGGCACTGGGCATGCTGCAAAGCCGCAGCAGCTTGTCAAAACTTGCAGTTTGTTTCATGACAGTGAGGTCTGGAGCTGGCTTGTGATTTTTCATCTGCTCTTGGTTTCTGTGCAGCATTTGTTTTGCTCAGCATCTACCTGTTTATATAGGACCTACTATAAATCTTTCGTGCTCGGGATAGATTCAAACTCATGGGAAACAGCAGTGGTCTGGGACCTGCCACAGTGCAAAAGTCTCAAGGAGGATGGAGCGAAAACCAGAAGTTTCGCACTTCCCTCTAATTTGGTGAAACAGCTACCACTGCTTGCAGTTTGGGCCAGTGATGGAGGTTTGATGCCTTTTCTTGCAGAAGCCAGGCAGAGAAGGCAGCACACTTTGTGTTGGAAACTATGTCCTTCATTAGTCAAGAGCCAGTCCTGGTTTGCAGGGACATAGTACCAAATTGCAGGCTTTATTTTTGCCCAAATCCAAGCAACTTCTGGAGGTTCAAGTACATTTTAATGATCAGAATCATAGAAATAATCATCAGCATAAATTCAACAGATGACTGGGAGGAAAAAATACAAATCAAAGGCAGGTGAAATCTTTGTCCACTTCAAAACAGTGGAATTGCTGCTGGGTCAGATCACAGCTCCAGGTCAATCATGATGCCGTTTCTGACAGTAACTGTACAAGTCTGTCCCATACTGATTTCTTAAGAGGTGCTTAATTCTTGACTGATATGGGGCTGGCATTTTACTCTTTAGCGTTAAGTGTGCCCCATTACAATAATCTCAC